TCTTTCCTCTAAGTCTGCGTGCATCTGCTACCTCCTTAGACAAGAAGCCCGCAGTGAAATTGCTGGGCTATGTCATGTGCATTTTCATGGCTTTCAGGTATGTTGCTGAACTGCCTTACAGAAAGGTTGAGGGCCAGACTGTGGCGTAGGGTTAAGGTGTCTGGCTCCCACCAGGCTAACAGTGTGGTCCAAGTGTCAGACACACATGATTGAGAAACACGCTAGGTGTGCACATGTGTTCCCAAGCTTCTGAAAGGAGAAAAAATTGGGGGAGAAGGGATTGTGGAATGACCATTCCCCTGGGAGTCTCTCTCTCTCTTTCTCTCTATCTCTCACTGGCAAGTGCATGCATGCAATGGCAGAATTTTAAAAATGAAATTATAATATGGTGCTGATGAGAGTCTTGTCTCTGTCCCAAAACCTATTTCCACACTGAGTGTTAAATTTTTCATTTTTGTTAATATGATTTTAAGATTATGAAGTAGTGTTTTATTACATTTAATTACCAATGGACTTGAACACTCTAGGTATTAATTACTCATTTGTATTAATTGGTGTATCATTTACTCATATCTTTTGCCTGGTTTTTAATTGGAAGATTCATTCTTTTATTGAATTGTGATAGCAATTTGTACATTAAAGCTATTAACATTCACAGCATAGGTAAACATATTTTTTAAAACTTTATTATTTCCTTTTATATTTTGTTTGGTGTTTCTGGCTTCAAGAGAAGTAAAAATATTTCCATTTTTTCTGATTCCACAGCAGAGAATCATATCTAATAGTAGAAAACATTCTGACTTTGCAAAAAGTCATAGCAATAATGGATTTTATGCCTGAGAAAATCATACATGTAACTTATAGCCATCTAAAAACAGTAAGCTTTACCACTTTGACTTTAAATTATTTTTCCTTATTCTACAGCAATTTCTCTCTATCTGAAGGCTCTATCTTGTTGATTATACTTGAAGACAGTAAGCAGTACAATAGAAATCCAATTTTCTGAATAGAAAGGTTCCACTGGCTGATATATAATGTCAGTAGACCCTTCATGGTAGACCCTTTCCAAACCTTAAATCTTGAGTTCAAAGTCCTCACTTATGTCTTGACAATAGCTTTCAAGCCAGCAACACAAGAATAAACACATTTCTTCTTTTCAAGCTGCAGAATCACATTCTCTTTATATCTGTTAACATATTTTTCAAAGGAAAAGAACTTATTTCAAAAAACAATTTTTTTTTGCTTTAATTCCACTGGGACGGTAAGAACAAAAAGACTTCCAACTAAATGATACATCTTAATTCTCCAAGAATGAGGAAGAAAAATGGAGGAATTGAAGTGGAAATAGGCAGTATAAAAAATTCCTCCTTGGGTGAGGTGAAGGGGCCTTTCTAGTGCCTATCCTGGCTTTATTTCACAGCCTCCAGAGGTTTCAGAGCCATTACGTGGTCATTTAGGAGAACTTAGAGGTCCAATTTAGATGCCGTTAAAAGTAACAGTTCAGGCATTTTACTTGTCAGTGATTGTCAATCCAATGTTTATCACAGCCACATTAATTCAATCAGGGTTACAATTAAATGATCATTTCCTGGTAGCTGTTATCACAGTCTGTGGTGAGAGATCCTTCATGTGTCCCTAAGTGCTGATTAGCTATACATGTGTGCATAAACCTCAATAACAAAGATTTAACATTAACGTTACTCATACAAAGTTTACTCCATAATATCTTCTACATGGCAAAATGCTTCTCTTACTTCCTTTGGTAGTCGATGGGCCCGTTCTGGCTGTGTTGTCAGAGGTCAAAGAAACCCCGCGATGAGAGGCATTGGTGGCCACTGTGGCAGCTGAGACCTCTGCTCAGACCGCTCAGAGTTCTCCTGCTTGTGACTTTGAGGTGGCAACAGAAAGGGTTTCTTTCTTGCTAAAAGACAAAACCTACATAATGGAGTGAGAACTGTGCACTCAACAATACCTTTATCTGAATGTATTAGAAAAAATACAAACACACCTATTGAGTTCCGTTTCAGTGTCTAATCCTGCCTCACTAAGCATTTAAAACAGTTAGCTAGATATGGCTCCAAGTCTTTTAAAGAGTGGGGTCACTAGGAGGGAAGCAGGGATAGGGAAATGAGGCAGAACCTCAGAATTTCAAACATCTGATCTGTTTGGGTGCTAAGTTAAGATGGGACCTAGGAGTCCTTAAGCTTAGGAAAATTGTGACAACCCCACCCTCCTGTATATACACCTGCGTACTTCCCACACCTCCATGTGACCCCGAGAGAGACACTGACAGTAATAAAACCAGTTAAGGTAACTCTTCACCCTCTGGGCTGGTCCTGACTCCCTCAGCAATCTCATTCAGATGAGTTGGAACAGACCCTCTAGTGAGAGATAGACTCTTTTCCAGAGGTCAGTCCCAGTCTGCTGCTGCCTCTCCTGAAAAGCTTTACCTAAAATAACATCTGTGTATCCCTGAGGTTGTTCCTGCATCTGGGGGCCTTCCTAATCCCTAGACTAGGCGAGATGCCCCATTTCATTGACTGCTTAAATACGGTATCGGTCTTATGAGTAATCATCATAATTATAACAATCATCCAGGGTCTTACTCCATACTACACTGGAAGCCCCACAAGAGTGCTACCATATCTGTCCTGTTCATTTCTACCCTTCCAATTCCTAAAGCACTGGTGGGCACTTAATACACTGAATAAATAGAGGCTCAGTGTTCCTTATCCAAAATGCTTGAGACCAGAAGAGTTTCCATTTCAGATTTTGTTCTGATTTTGAATATTTGCATAGACACAATGAGATATCTTAGAGACCAGATCCAAATCTAACCAGGAAACACTTGTCTTTCATATGCACCTTGTACACAGAGCCTGACGGTCATTTTATACATTTTTGTATTGCAGTATTTCAACTCTGACCCATCACAGGAGACTATTTTTGGTGTTTGTAACCACCACACAGATACAAGGCCCAGTTCTCATTCCCAAACTGTTCGTTTCATTGTAATAATTTTAAGAATAGCATAGACTGTTAAATGAAAAAGGTTGTTACTTAAAAATGTTTCTGTTGGGGCTAGCATGTGGCATGGTGGTTAAGCCAGTGGACTTCCGCATGACCAACTGTGGTTTGAACCCTGAGCCTGGCAGCATAAAAATGGCATGGGGCACATATGCATGTGTGCCCAGAATCCCACGAGGAGGATGGAGAAGGAATTGTGCTGTGGCCATCCCCCATCCCAAGGGGATGATTTGTCATTTTCCTTCTCTCTGTCTCTCTCCAGCAAGCAGACACGACTTATGGCAAAAACCTAAAAAAAAATGTTTTAAAACAAGAAAACTATCTATTTGCTGGTCATTCATAAATCTTTCTTGGAGAGTTATCTATTCAGTTCAGTTCAGTTCAGTTCATTCTTTAAGGAGTTATTCATTTAATTTAATTTATTATCATTATCTTTTTTTAAAATTTTCTATAGGACACATATGTTCACCAGAGAGAGAGAGAGACAGAGAGACAGAGAGAGGGAGAGGAAGTGAGAAAGCAAGATGCCAGGTCTGGGACTCAAACAGCAGTTGGCCATTTGTGAATCCAGTGACTCAACCACCACACCACCTCCTAGTCCCCATTCGCCCATTTTTTAATTAGATATTAATAATTTTAATGGGCAAGCTGCTTGTATTGCCTGTATATTCTGGTTATCAATTCCTTATCTGAGGAATAATGTGCAAATATTTTTTCCCATTATCTGAGGGTTGTGTTATCACTCTTAATTGTTTCCTTTGCTATGAAGAAGTTTTTAGCTTGATGTAATCCCACTTGGCCAAAAGGCATATGAAAAAATGTTCCAAGTCTCTTGTCATTAGGGAAGTGCAAACTAAAACCACAATGAGGTATCATTTAACCCCAGGTAAAATGGCTAGGATCAAAAAAATAAATAACAACAAGTGCTGGTGAGGCTGTGGTGACAAGGGAGCCCTCTTACCTCTTACACTGTTGGTGGGATGTAAGTCAGTGCAACTCTGTGGAGAACAACATGGATGTTCTTCAAAAATCTACAAATAGAACTACTATATGACTCAGTATTCCAACTCCTGAGTATCTACCCAAAGGATAGCGAAACAATCAATTAGAAAGACACTTGCACATCCATGTTTATCGCACCATTGTTCACAATTGCTAAGACATGGAATCAACCTAAATGTCCAGAAGCTGATAACTGGGCACATATATACTATAGAATATTACTCAGCCATAAGAAACGATGAGTCCCTGTCATTTGATTCAAAGTAGATGAATATAGAGGACTTAGTGTTGAGTGAAGTGAGCCAGACTTTGAAAGATACACATTGTATATCCCCACTCAGTATGTACTGAATGTCTGAACTCTATGGCAGAATTTGACAGATGTGAAGCTATGATAGTAGAGAGGATAGATGTAAGGGAGGGAGTGGATGGGAAAGAGCAGTGGGAGAGGGGGAGAGGATAGATGTAAGGGAGGGAGTGGATGGTAAAGAGCAGTGATAGAGGGTGGGAGAGGGAAAGGAAACACTTAACAAGCAAAGGAATGTAAATTTCTCTGTGGAAAAAATGTTCTGTAATTTCACTTTTAAGTATAAATGTTTAATTTTTAAAAATAGCTAGAAAAAATATATATTCTTTAACACCAGTGACACTGAGTGACTTTTATCTTTCATGACACCCACCCATCCATCCTCTCTGAGACCTCAGCCTCTGCTAGGAAAAGAAGACTAGTTACAACCATTCCTCTGGTTTAGTGAGGAATCAGTGCTAGACGGGAGAATAACTAGTAACCGGACAAGATCCTGAGCAGGACGTTAGGGCTGCAAAGTGCCATTCAGAGCTGCACTAATCAAGGCGCATTGGTGATACCCAGAGAGCACAGTTTAATTCTCTGTACCCACGAGATAACTTTGCCACAGCACTGTAGAATTAATACTTCGCATTTTGTGCTTTTCTCTATCTCAACCATGTAGATGCCTTGAATCTCCGAAACCGACAGGTCATCTGTGTCACTCTGAAAGTCCTGCAGCACCTGGTGGTGTCAGCCGAGATGGTGGGCGAGGCCTTGGTGCCCTATTACCGACAAATCCTCCCTATCCTGAACATCTTTAAGAATATGAATGGTGAGTTATCCCAGGAGTCAAAATGTCTTTGCAACCCTAAAAAAGGGAGTGGTTTGAAGTAGTATTAATTAACAACACATTTAGGATTTATTACTGCATATAAACCATGATCCATTTGGAGATGTAAATGGCAGACTCCCACCCTTCTCTGCTCCCCAGAGAAACAGTCAAATTAACAATTTCGTTTATTACTCCTCACACGTACAGCTCGCGTACTCAGTGTGGAAGCACTGAAGCAGTTCTATAAGCTTCCAATAATTAAATTGTAAAGTTTTTTTAATAGTCTTTGGAATACATTAGCAGGTTTGGAGTTTTTTTTTTTTTTTTCTTGATAGTAACTCTACCTTTAGATGCTTCCTACTAAAATTTCAGTCAGCTTTTATTTTTTAATTGGTGTATAGTGAATCTTTTTCAAATACTATTATTAAAATCTGGTAGATGGTCTGGTGATGTTTTATATACGTTCTCCCATTTATAAAAAAAATAGAAAAATTATTCCTCTTATTTTGTAGTTACTAATTATTTAATAATTTGTAATTAGTTAATCATTTGTATTACTTAATTGATGGTGAGTACTGATAAAAATATGCATTCTTTTGTAAGCTTTGGAAAACAGACACCAGCTTGGGGGAGATTTGTCTTACCCTTACAAAGACATTGGCAAGTGTTTCATGATCTCTTGGCAGGCAGTGGATGTATATCTGTTCATTGAGAGTGTGATTTTCTTGAAACAGTGTGAACCTAATTTTCTTTTTTGTTGCTAACTTTGAAGTCCCATACTTCTCACGTGCATGGTAGACATCAACATTTGAAGTTAATTCCTGGCAGCCATGTATGTCAGTTAGTAATTTAGTGGAACATTGTATGAAAATTTTGCAACACAATCTGCTCATTTTAATATAAGAAAAGAATCAAACACAAGGCTGAGTGCGTGGCAGCTTCTACCACAAAACAACTTCGGTTTGGGAGCACTATTTCTTGTTAGTAAGCAACTGCTGTTAAGTCTGCTTTTGACATGGGTGACTCAGGAAATCTTGAAATTCTCAGAAAGTCTTTAGTTGTTTTTCAATAATAAGACCTATGTATACATTTAATATTGTATATATTTAATGAAAAGAACTTCAAACTGGGGTTATGGGAGCTTAAGACTGCTTGTAAGAGAGTGAGTTGATATCAATTCTGAATATCTGAAGAGCTGTAATTAACGTGAACATTGAAGCAAGATGGTTACTCTTTTTTTTGGCAGCTTCGTTCTTTATTATCATTATTATTATTATTATTATTGTTATTTTTTGCATTCAATCTTTGTGTATCTTTACAACATAGAGAATAAGTTTCCCCATCATGAATATGCTGCATGTTAGCTACTCTTGAGGGAAGTAAAGCCTGGATGAGTCTTTTCTTGTTCAAATTTAGTGTTTTAGTAACAGCATTCCTACTTTATGGAAAATCTTATCTAAATATTCTTCATTCGTAATTTATACCTTTAGCAGCATCAAATACCATGGCGTTGTAGCATGAGTTCACATGTGAGATTGTTCAGTTCAGGCCCATAAATGAAGAAACTCTTTGTTCATTCGTTATACTTAGCTTCTAGTTAATAGGGAAGGTAGAGAGAGATAAACTAAAGAGACAGAGATAGAGATGATAGCAATAGAGGTGGAAATGATAGAGTCATGAAAAGAATGGAAGGATCAGGCAACAGCCACCCCCAAAGTGTTGGTTAACCTTTTCCGAGTGGGTGATTCACAAGTATTTCTTCAGGAGTCCTCACTATTGAAGCCTATGATATATACACTATTGTTATGTCCATTGTATTGTCCTAAAGATTGCCCTCCTATGGAAACATTTGCATCTGTATCCACCATTAGGAAGATGCACTTGAAACCTCTGACCTCCCTTACCAGAGGTTTAGGAGTGAGGTCGCTTCTTCAACATCGTGTTCATGCTTTTCTTGTCTAGTAGTAAAATCTGGAACTTAAGTCTAAGCCTCATTTTGCATCCCTGAATGAAGGAAGAAAATCATGATGTTCAAAAGACAATTAGCATTCTTGCTTATTCTCAAGGAAGCCTATACAGCAAGATAAATATAGCTACCACGAGACAGATCATCTCATTGAGAGTACCAGACGATTAAACAAAACAAGTGATTTCTTTTGCTTCCCCATTTTAGTTCTTCTTTAACTCTTAAACCCACAAATGTGCATGTACTTCACAAAGGGGTGGTTGGCTTTAGGAATCCATCCCTGTGAAAATGTCACCAGTGTGGGGAATTTATAGTCCTTACCATCATCCTTAATTGGTCCCACACACAGCTAACTCTTTTGAAACCTTTGTAAATGCATGCATAAGGAATTCTACATTCAAACTATTTTTCTCACATTTGAAAGGGACGATATTAGCATCAGCTTCATTGTCTACTTATCTTAGAAACCTGTCACTACATCCCAAGATGCATTTGCTGTATTTTCAAAGGGTCCTGAGAGGGACCTTCTGGCATTCTAGCTACAGAAACTCAAACCTACTCTCCCTAGATCTAAATCTGCTTGGAATTTATCACGGGATTTCCAATTTTAGTAGTATTTTCACTAGAAAAATGATTTAATTTTAGTATCATTTTTATAAATTGTGCTTAATGAATACATATTTAAGTAGTTGTCTTTAGTAACAGATAAAATAATTTACAGTTAAATTATATCAGAAATTTATATCTTGTAGCATTAGAGAAAAACTCATCCTAAATTTCAATGTATTTGAGAACAATTTCTCACTTTTCTGTTTCCTCTTTTCCCTACTTGTCCTTTATGTAGCTCAATGTCTTGTTAAACTAAGACTCAAATGAATTTCCTTCAAGTCCCACTACAAAATCTATTTCTCAGAATAAGACCTGATCTATAGATAGCTACATAGATGATAGATAGACATGAAGGAAGAAGGAAGAGGGAGAGAATGAAGGGGGTAGGAGGAAAGGAGGGGAGAGAGAAAATATTCTTACAAATGCAGTGACCCTGCCCTCTGACAGAAGCACACACTTTCGCTTAATTCTTCTGCCTAATCTATTTTGCGCTGTCTGTCCTATTTTACTGCCAGGTGGATTTTCTCTGAAACCAGTAGTGGAGGCTGAGTAGCCAGAGAACTGGACAAATGTTTTAGCCTTCATCCAGGGTGAGGAGCCCCAGGCTTTGAGTCTCCACAGGGGGTCAGTTGGAAAGGAAGTGGGGCAAGAGGAACATAAAATGCATAGACCAATGATTTATGCCCATCTGTGCCGTAGTAGAGATCACAACCTAAATCTAAGTCCATTCTATAATCTTAAATTTATTCATCTACAAAAAATACATATAACAAAGTATTTTTAGAGTTGGCACTAAAAGGAGAGGCAATGTATTCACAGCCTTCTATATGGAGCCTGTCCTTGACCAGGTACTAAACAATAGCCGTTATTATTATATATGCACAATATTATGTACACCTGTCATTCAATGGTATTATATAAAAATACAATAATGCTATGCAAGTTACTAGACAGCAACAGAAGTTGGTGACTGAAAATATTAGCACTCTGCCGGTGATAGCTTGTCCCCTTGGCTAATTCTGTGAGTCTTTGAAAGAGATGTGGCCTCAAATTCATCTTGACTCTGATTGCCAAATGCCAAGTGAGTGCCCAATAAGTTAAAGACTCTGGAATTCACTCCAGGATAACTGGCTTTCAAATGCTTCTTTTCCTGGTATAACCTTTCAACCCTAATATGGGACTGGAGTTTGGGGAACATTAATATGTAAGGAAGAGAAGCAGCTCTAGAACAGATGAGGGAAGTCTGAATTAGGATCCTCTTTGGAAGACCCACACCAGTATCCACACTTTTGACCTTGTTTCCTGAAATCTAAACAGTGACTTTGGATGTCTGAAACATGCTGTGTCCCCAGTGCTTTGGGGTAAAAAGAAGGGAGTTTCTATAAAACATCTCTCTAATGCACTTGTCTTACAGCCAGTAGCAATTTCCTCTTTCCTGTGTTCTTTCACAAATGTTATTAAAGGTTACAGAAAATTAAGATGATAAGAATGTTCAATATATAGCTTTCAGAGATGAAACTACAAAATTAATGATGCAGTGCATTACATTTGAGAAGCAAGAGCTAATAAACGGCATTAAAACATTTATTGCTAAAATATGGGGCTCTGTCACTAGATTGGGGCTATCTAAGAACCTGGTCCCTGGGGAGAACCTTATTTTAATTCCTCTATTTCTATCTCCACCAGTAGTCCTGAAACAGCCCCTACCTGAAAGATTTCAGATTCCAGGTAGCAGAGGTTCAGACAATACCATAAATTTATGTCATGAAATATGCAAAAGTAAATGTAATAATGAAATATCAAATAGTCTTTGTTTGTTGAAATCAAATTGTCTGAGATTTGCCTAAAATTAATACAGGATACATAATACTACAGACTGATAAAAGTCCATTAAAAGAGCCTTCTATCTTTAATTCAAATTTAAGCACATTAAGACATATAGGTAATGAGAGTGCATTGAATTTACAGAATTTTAGATATTTGTATAGGTCTTTGACCCTGATATCCAAGTGGCTTCTAAAAACTAGAAATAATTATTTTATGCTGATAGTCCCAAAACAACTTCTGATGAGTACCTGAGCATTCTCAGTCTGGCCAACCCGACTCTCAGAGATATTTCTGAGTCCTATGAGATCTGCCTTTATGATCCTTTAAAATGTTGATGAACTTTTTGAGAGTTGATTAGTTTTACACACATACACCAAAAAAAATAAACTTTATTCTGTTTCAAAATTTACTTGTATAAAGGTATTTCTCTTCACAGAGATTTAAACTTAGCTTGAGAATTAAGGTTTATCCCCCCATGGAATTCTGAACAATTTCAAGTCCCTAATTTACATTTTAGAAATTTGCTTCAAAGTTTCTTTAAAATCATTAGGTTTATTAGATTTGAAAGCACTGGATTATCCTAAATGCAGTGAGGAAA